CCTTTGTACATATATAAACCAATTTAGGCAAGCAATATATAAATGTGATGAGATAAATAACTTATGAGTTAGAATATTTTGAAAGAGTATTTATGATAATTTCTTAGCTATTTAAGAAAAACTTCTAAAACTTAAATAAGACAAAGCAGTGATTTGATATGTTACTAAAACATTGCCTAGCAAGCCTATATAAAGGTACTTTAACTTTCTAAAGGTATGCAATTTTATAACGAGTATTTTCTATATATTATTTATGAGATCTTCAGATATCTTATAGTTATATTCAATAAAATGATACAAAAAGCTGCCAGATTTTGTTACTTTTCTTTTAGTGTGGTAAAAAATGTAATCTCAGACATTGAGTGAATTAGGTCTAATTTAGAAATTTTATTTCAGTGTTGTTTTTGTGGTGATTACTTAAAATTACATTTTTTTTTACATTTTCTTTTGAACTGCCATTGTTATCTCTCTGTCTCTTGTTACTGAATTAACATAATTTCTGACATGTTTATCATCTACTCCTTTGGGAATTGTGTTTTATGAATGACATCTAAAAATTATACTTTGACAGCAAATCATAATATTTGACTCCTAATGACAACATTCATGCTTTCTGCATAAAACCCAGGAATAAGCGACAATGTATAAGCTGCTCCAGGTGCCATTGAGACACTCAGGTGTTGCATCGAGGTTTAGTAACACCCTGAAGGAATTGTTTCATCTGCAAGATTCAAGGTAGTTTGGCATTAGTCCTTCAGTTTTGCCTTTCCAAGGAGCATGTTTGAGGTGGAAACTAGCAGGAATCGTTTTACTCAGGAATAAGATATGGAAAATGGATGGTATAGGAAATCAGTCACTTCAAATCAGTCACTTCAAAGAAAGGCAAAGGAGTGGGCTATGTTATGCATCAGGTCTGTTTTAGAGCATGCAGTGCCTCAGGTCAGTTTTCTAGTAATAGCTGAAGAAACTCAAACAGCAGCAGCCTAGGAATCCCAGAGCTCATTAGGTTGAGTAATGGTGAAAGACCATAAAACACTAGGATACAGCCAGGGCCCAGGGGAAAGCAAATTATTCCAATGAGGGCTTGGCTTATAAGGAAGCAGTTAAAGCACAGGCTGGGCAATTGTGATGGTCATCTGCGAACTGCTCATCTTTCTAGCTGTAGGAGGGGCTGGTGGGATGAATGGAAAGATAATATACTTCTCCTTGACACCACATAGCCCTAACAAGCAAAGATGTGAGTTTCTCATGTAGATTTGTTAAAACTCCCCTTCCTTCTCTGCTCTTCTTTCTGTCATGGAGGCCATTTCAATGTGTCATTACTATTCTTTCTATATTCTGGGGTTCATTATTTTAAATTTAAGATTGTTTAAATTTTGTTGTTGTAGGTTTGTACACTTGGAAATTGTTATGGTTTGTGTCTAGATGTCCCTCCAAAGCCTCATGCAGTCATGGTGCAGGCTTCTAGAATTTATGATTCATTCATGGTTCAAAGCTGGGATTGTGGGTGTGAGAGCTACACTTACCCTTAGAAGTAGGGGGCAGCCTACATATGATATAAGGGAGAGAAAGAGCCTTGCTCTCTACTGCAGCTCCTCTCTCTTTAGTCTTGCTGCTTTTGCTGTTTTCCCACCACCATGAACTGTTGCCCTCTGCTATGTGCCACCCTGCCTTGGAACCAACTGAGTACGGACTGAAACCTCAGAAACTGTGAGCTAAATAAACCTTTCTTTCCTTAATTAATTGTGGGCATCAGGTATTTTGTCTCAGTGACCAGAGAAAAGTAATGTAGACAGAAATATTTACAGAAGAATTAAATTATAGGATTTAAGGAGTTCTAGTCTGTCATACATAGGAAGGTAATCACAAAATTTGGATAAGATATGACAACTTCAGATGCCCGTGGACTAGGTTCATGGCCATATTGCCTTCAGATTCCCTAAGTCTACCGTAGTCTGTCTTAGATACTATTTTCCATTTCCTTAATTATTTTATTTGCTTTTGCTGAATCTTCTCTATTTCCTCCAAATACAATGTAAAATATAATACTTCAAACAAAGCAAATGTTTGGAGCACAAATATTATGCCCTTCTCAATAGGAAATGCATTTCTAAGTAATGGTGACCATTTCTGGTGTTTCTGCAGAAATTAGAAAACACAAGTACCTTCAAAAGGAGTTGAAAAGGGATTTAACTTCCAGCTAGAAAATTATTTTCTGCTGGTGGTTTAGTAAAGTTTCTTCCTGTAATACTTTTAGTTCAATACAGGCAAAACCAGAAAGATGAAGTAGCAAAATATACTATGTTTTTTTTTTTTTTAAATGCAATTCCCACCAGAAACACTTTACTCCTTTTATTAATGTTTTCCTCTTAGGCTATCTGCAGCTCTATTTAGAAACACTGGAGATTAACCTTGTGGCTGTCCCTAAATTGTAGTAAATTACTTGAGAAGACTGGTTTTTATTTTCTATGCATCACACAGCAGGACTCCTCTGGAAAGAATTTCTGAACTTGTCATTAGCCATTCTCAATTTTCGTGTTCTAGCTAATGAACTAAAATATTTTAAATTTATTTTTGCAAATGCTTATATTATCTTTAGGATGCGAAGCAGGACCTGTTTGGTAGGACTCGTCCTACCGGTAGGACCAGGGTAAGGGAGCTGGCCATTTTGAATGTTGCTCCTCTGACCCTGTAGCGGCTTGGCAAGACATTTTTTAAAATTAAGTTTGTTGTTAATACATAAAACTTAAGAAAATGTGCATATTAGGGATTTAGATGTAGTATATACACATACATTGTAGAATGCTCCAAGCAGGTATAACATGTCCAGCTCTTCACGGATCATGTCTATGGTAAAATGTCTAAACATCTCAAATGCGCATAGAGCGTCGCTGTCTCTGGCCTCCCTGCTGTGCAGCAACACTCACCACTTTGTGTTTTATGTGACGCTCCCTGGAGATGCCTGTCCTAAACATGGCAGTTTTATTAATACTGAAAGTGATCTTTCTATATGGATTGACATTATAATTTCATATTACCTGAAGGCAGTAAATTTCCTGAGTCAGTAAAACAAATCCAATAATTAGAAGACAGTCCCTACTTTGATTAGAACTTAAATTAACTAAAGCACAGGGATACCATTTTTTGTCTTATGTAAGTATGAAAGTTTGATTTCACTTTTAGTGAAATCTTATTAAAGTAAACATCTAAGAAATGTCCAACTATAGCCCTGAAATTCTCTAATATTATATATGATTTTAAAGAAGGTCGTAGAGTTCAAAACGGTTTATAGTAGTTTACATTATAAAATGTTTTACATGCTTTTCTCTTATTAACTATACCTTTCTGATTTGTCTAATTTTAACCTTTCAACCTTAATACAAATGTAATACTTGTATAATTGTATTAATACAGTTAATACAAATTAATTTCTCTATAGCCATTCTATGGAAATAACAGAGGTTTAATATGGCATCTGTATACTGTGTCTTCATTTTTGCAGGCAATTTTGCTTTTTCTCCAAGCTATACCCTGACTAAATAAAAATAATGTTTTAGATTATTTACAATTTATTTTCCTGATTTTCAGAAATCTCTTTTTAATCTTTTTATTAGATTCTTTCCAGGTTCCACAAGGATGATATTTAAGTTAGATGCAGAATTTTAATGACAACTTGACCCCTATAAATATTTTAGATACCTGGAAACAACATAAAATTCTAATTTCCTCATGGAATTTACAATCCTTGGTATATCCAAGGAAGATTAAAGTTTACAATGTACCACAACTCAAGTACAGCTGTATGTGTAACAACAAATAGTTTTCTACCTGTTTTTATTTTTATTTTTGCTTTGTTTTATTTTCCAATTGATTCTGGAATGAGGTGGTTTCATTGGCTGATTACAAAATAATAAAATTAGATCCACCTGTGCACGTAGTCATATAAGCATGTGAAGAGGCTGCTCAAAAACATGATAAAACATCCAAAAATTGCTTGAGACTAAAATCTGTCTCTTACTTTTAAATATGTTGGAGAAAGAATTTTTTTTAATCATTAATTTTTAAAATAATTTTCCTTATTGAAATTGAGCTACTTTTCTGCATTTCTACAATGTGTATAAATATTTGACGCCTAGTTTAAATGTTTTTCATCAAGTAACTTTCTCTGAACAACTTGAGAAAAATAAATACAACATGGAACAGGTAATTAGGGAAAGAAAAATACAAATCTTTGTCTCATTTCATATTTTGCCTAGAGCTGGTTCTAGACAGAATGCTCTTTAATCTAGACATAGAGGCACCTACTAACTACTTCTGTGGGAGAAATTGATAAATATTCTCTAACTTTTTACTTGTAGTAATTCAAGATATTCCCATCCAGTGTTAGATTTGGACATCAGGGCAGAGCAGGAGAAAGTGCACAAAATATTATCATAGTATAGTCTTTATTTTCTTATGTGTATCTTCAGTTGTTAAAGAAGAATGACTCTGATTTCTTTTATTACCCATTTAGAAAAAGGGTCAAGGTGAGTTTTTCTATCTGCCTCAGTGATATGAATCATTGACCTTGGTCTCTTTTTTTAGTGGTTAGTATTGTATAGCCAGTTTCCTATTTATTTTGTAGTGGATGCTTTGGTAAATTTAAAAGTAAATATTGAATTTTTTTACTCAATTTCTACTAACTTCTTAATTTGTGTGATCTAGCATAGTAACAATGAATAATAATTTAAAAATACAAGCTACTTTCCAATCCTTTTTATATGAATTATGTCTCTAAACATGTAACAATCTAGCCATATATACACTTATAGTAAACTACCCACCTTTGTATAACATAGCAATTCATCATTTACAAAGTATATTCTCCTCAATTTGATAAATTTTGAGCTTCAGCTATGCAAAAAACATTGTGGTATGCACAAAAAGATGTTAGAAATATATCCTCAATTTTCCCTTTAATTTAAATCTCTCTTGTTACAATTCAATTCTTTTCTAGGTCACTTGATATTCTAGACTTGATGAGAAAAGAAAATGATTCTAAGGTGACAGAATTTGTCCTTCTGGGTCTATCATCCTCCTGGGAACTCCAGCTCTTCCTTGTTTTCATGTTTTCCTCCTTTTATGTTGCTATCATCCTGGGAAACCTCTTGATAATGGTGACAGTGAGAGCTGATGTTCATCTGCTACAATCTCCCATGTACTATTTCTTGGGCCATCTCTCCTTCATTGACCTGTGCCTGAGCTGTGTTACTGTTCCCAAGGCACTGGCAGGTTTCCTACCACAGGGCAAGACCATCTCTTTTTCAGGATGCTTGGCCCAGATCTACTTCCTCCACTTTCTTGGAGCTAGTGAGATGTTCCTGCTGACAGTAATGGCCTATGATAGGTATGTTGCCATATGTGATCCTTTGCACTACCTGATAGTCATGAACCACAGGTTATGCCTTCAGTTGGTGTTAGCCTGTTGGTGTGGGGGCTTCATCCACTCTATCACACAGGTCATATTGGTCATTCAGCTGCCTTTCTGTGGTCCCAATGAACTGGACAACTTCTACTGTGATGTCCCACAGGTCATCAAGCTGGCCTGCATGAACACCTACCTGGTGGAAGTCCTGATGGTTTCTAACAGTGGTCTGCTGTCTCTTATCTGCTTCTTGGTCTTGCTATTCTCCTATGCGGTCATCCTGATCACCCTGAGAACTCGCCTTCATCGGCGCCAGAGCAAGGCACTCTCCACCTGTGCTTCCCATGTAACAGTGGTCAGCCTGATCTTTGTGCCATGTGTATTTATTTACCTGAGACCTTTCTGGAGCTTCTCTGTGGATAAGGTATTCTCTGTGTTTTACACAGTGATCACACCTATGTTGAACCCCTTCATTTACACACTGAGAAATACTGATATGAAGACAGCTATGAAGAAGCTGATAAAAAATCATGTGCCATTCTGTTGCCTTGTTAAAGGGTGACTAGGAAAAGATAATTTAGAAAACATACCCTTTCTTGCAACACTTGTATCGTAATCTGCAGTGTCCGTGAAACCAGGCAGGTGACTTTGACACAAAAGAGAAAACAACATAAAACCATAATGCCTAACTTGTGATAGCAGCTGGGAGACACAGGTGTGTTTCTTGGGTACCAGATATTTGCAGGGGACCCAGGAGCATTTATTGGCTGAAAATGATAAGAATTAGTTGAATGCTAATGTCACAAGGCACCTGAAAAGATCAACTCCTTTGTTCTTCTGTCTACAAGGAATCTTCATTTAGTCAATGTATTTGACTATTTAACTCTATTCAAATAAAAGAAGGTACCACATCTCCTTTTGTGTCCTGCTTCTTCAAGGATTAACAATTCCAGTGTCAGGAAGTTCCTTTGGATGTTTCATTACATTACTTCAGAAGCAGTGTGAACCCTTTCATGGTACCTCTAGCAAACCTGGCATCAAATCTCTGCACATCAGTGCTCATTCAGTAACTTTGGTCCACATTGTGCCAAATTTTAGAAATGCAGTCAAACAGCTCCACTGAGTGAACATATTCTCTTAGCAAAGTTTATGGGTGAGAGGAAGGGAAGTCCTAGGGTGATGGAGGCTACTAGTATTATTGAGGACCAGCTTGATGTGTTGTAAAGGAGAAAGGGGTTGATACTGAAATAAAAATAAATTAAACTGAGAGTCTGTTCTAGGCCTAAGTGACTGGTGGCGAGGCCCGGGGCTGGTGTGGGGAGGAAATTAATCCACTACCTGGCATGGGGATGAAATTAATCTGGTACCTGACAAATGCCAGGACTGAAACCAGCAAATGGTCTGTGAAGTCTTAGCACCTCAAATCAAGAGAAACACTACAGCTGTGGACTTTTCTAGCCCCAAATCCTTCTAGCTCAGTGGTATTAGTCAGCAATCACGTTACTGGTTAACTGGTTTTCTGTTCCTGTGTGTGTTTCCCAAAAATATATTGTTCCTCAATTCTTGGACTTGACTGTATCAGCAGTTCACCCCATCATTTCCTGCTGCCCCCTAACACAATCCTCCCAATCAAGCCACACGCCTAATAAAAGCCAGGGACACTGTACCTCTTGGTCTGTGTCCTTCTTGGGCTTTGATCATCTTGGTGTTCCTTGTAACAAAAATACATATCTTGTCTGTGTTCTGTTCTGGTATATCCTTGAGCAGGAGATTGGTGGTCCTAGGCCAAGACTCTTTCTGTTGTTGAGGCTTCCCTGGAAGAGGAATTTCATTTCACATTAAACTTTCGCTTTGAGTAAAGTCAGAATGGGTACAAACTGACAGGCTACAACTGACCATGATGTTTAAGAACTTAAAAAAGGAAAAGAAGAAAAACAAAGGGAAAAAGATAGATGCTGTGGTTCAAAGTACTTTTCATGATTATTACTCTGAGCAACAAGTGTCCTTTAAGGAGTAGCCAATATCATTTAACTTCATTTTTATTAATGAACTCTGTTATTGAGTTGCCCAGTATCACTTAGAAAAAAAGGTAATCAGTCATGACAGCCAATAATTTTAGATAATTAAGCTAATTATTTATCCTCAGAGAAAGATGTTTATTCAAATGTTATAGATTAATTGTTTGCTTTCTACTATATCTCTATAGAAGCTCCAGAGCTAGGAGACCCCTAAAAAGTTTTATTTAACATTTATATTTAAAGTTATATATTTCTGACATATTTACTTGCAACTTTTAATGACTATAAATAGGCATTTATTCCATTTCCTGAATAATAAGATAATCGTAAAGTTTTATTTTTTACTTTATTTTATTTTATTTTTGGTTTTCTTCCAGTACTGGGAATCAGACTCATGACCTCACACTTGCCAGGCAGGTGCTGTGCCACTGAGCTAAATCCCCAGCCCAATTGTAAAGTTTTAGTAAGATTTTTTTTTGCCAGCTTTTCTTTTATTTTAGAGAGAAAAAATTGTTGTCTTTGGTGTAGTTACTCAGAGTACAAGACATAGGCATGATATCTTGGCCAGTTTTTAAAGGTTCACCTTCCAAATATATGCTTAGATTTATCTAGTATGTACCAATATATTGTGGGACATTTGCTTCATTAAATAAAATACCTTTTTTTAAAAAAGCCCAACATATTGGGGTTTTATTTTTGCATTTGCTTACTTCATTTTCTATTGGTTGTTATGAAGAGGATTTTCTGATTACTTACTGAAAAATACACTTTAGAAAGAAATATTTGAAATTCCAACATTTACTAGTATTCACTAGATATCTTGTAATATTCCATCATGTAATAGTTTTTTTAAAAAATGTTAGAATAAAGCATGGATTTTCATTTGTGCTGGGTCCTTATTTTAGGAAACTGTATATATGCCTAGATGTATTGCTACAGAAGACTTCTCACAGAGCAGGACTGATGCTGCCGCTTGAAGATTTAATGACATGGGCAAAGGAAAGAAGTAGCAATGTATGGAACACTCCTCCTCTTTTTCCTTCATTCTACTCTTTATTTCTATAGAGGTCCTTTGCCTACAGTGAAAAATCTGAAGAACAGGATAATATCCTGAAGATAGCGTTCTGAAGAGCAGGAAGCTATCAGTCAGACAGTAGTATGAGGGTTCACAGAAAGACCTGGTGGGTCAGCCAGGCATATTATAAGGACATGACGCTTCAAGTTTTTTGAGGGAAGATGGATGCAACATCTTTTTTTTCAGGTGTTCATCATTCAGAGCAAAATTTGCAGTCTTGGCAAGTCATTTTAAATACCTTGGTGATATCTGCTATTGGTAGCACTATATTTAAAAAGCAGCAACTCTAGATATCTCCTTTTGCAGTTTCAATCCTCTAATAATTACTTAGTTGATTACCTATATTAAAATTATTTTTATTAATAAATAAATACAATTTCTGGTTTTTGAGATTTACATGATTTGTATTCCTGGTGGCCTAGTGCAGTAGAATTCAGATAACATGGGCCCTCTTCCAGAGTCTGCCTGATTTTCTTTGGGCCTGTTATCCTGAAAATATACCATACCATTTGTGTTGAACCCTTTGACCTGATGATTGCAGGACACTGTGAATAAAGTATGTGGCCAATCGTGGACATCTGGGCTGCAGAATCCACATTTGTATGGGACTCTTGTGAAGTTTGAAACCAGGAAGAGTGAGGGGTTAGAGTTTGTTTAGTTACTTTCTTATCTCTAAGATACAATACTCAACACTCATAATTTAAAGGAAGAAAGGTTTATTCTGGCTCACAATCTGTAGAAGTTTCAGTCCATAGCTGGCTGGCTCCAAGGCAAGGCAGCATGACAGGCATGGCAGAGGAGGAAGAACTCAAGGTACAGTTGGGGGAAGCAGAAAGAGGAAGCAAGGGAGAAAGGAGGTCTATATACCTTTGCAGGCCATCTCCCCAGTGAGCCACCTTCTTGACCAGGCTTTTCCTTCCATTGTCAAACCAGGCTTTTCCTTCCAATGTCAAATTTAGCTATAAATTCATCAGTGGTTTAGTATCACATCCCAGTGATCCAGTCATATCCCCAAAGCCCCACCTATGCACACATAAGGATTTGGTGGGGTCATCTAGATATAAACTGTGACACAGGGCAAAGGTCTGCTTGGTCCACACTGCCACATTTTGGTGTAGAAGTTCAAGCATACTGAACATTTTAAAATGCAATTACTGAGGTAACTATGAAGGTATGAGAAGATATTTAAAGTTTCTTATTTTATTTATAGCATGGGGTCCTTTTCTTCTCTCTCCCCATGTTTCATGGATATTTGGGGTGTGGGTCCTTCTTTTGCAGCTCTTGAGACCCTCTGGGTACTAAAATAACCAAAATGAGACAAAGAGACATCTTATTTATGAGATAATGAGAGAACTATTGACTTCATATTTTCAAGATGCATAATGGAAAGTGAAGCTGTGCACATTTATAACCTATCTACAAAGTATATGTCATGAATAGGACAATTTAAATTAGCAAAACTAGTTCTCACTCTGTCAAACTTTTCTCTCTAAATGACATAAAAACTTGAAGTTATTACTGGAGAGTAGTCAATATGCCATCATAACTTCTACTCCTAATTTTAAAAAAAAACTTTTCCTAGGTGTTCCTCTAATAAATAACTCCTAGTGGTATTTGGGTCTTTTAATACTCATGAATCCATTAATAATTAATTAATTTTAATATCATTTCATTAAATCGATAACTATTTGCTATGTGCCTGGATATATGGTAGACAGGTTCTTTTTGGGTCTTCCATCAGCCATCAATATATTACCCCAAGGGGCTGGGGATTTAGCTCAGCGGCAAAAGCGCCTGCCTGGCAAGCGCAAGGTCGTGAGTTCGGTTCCCGGTACCGGAGAAAAACAAAAACAAGCAAACAAAAAAAACCCAATATATTACCCAAATATCTACTTAAAAAATCTCTCTGTATCCAACAGAGGAAGTAACACTCTGAAACAATGTAGGAGCCCAGAGAGGTCTGAAGTGTGGACTATGTAGTCTAACAGCCTCATCAAGACCCAGTTTAACAGCTTTCCAGAGAGCACATTTACCTGGAAAAATATATTGCCAGCCTGTTTGATATTAGATGCACAGAGTTTATGGTCTCACAACATTAAGGAATGAAATTGTGAACCAAAGGAGGAAGTTACAAGAGTTTTTTTAGAAATAATAATAATAATAATAATAGCTCCTGGGTTTCCAGAAGGGATCCTGACTGGGTGACCACTGGAACTTTTTGTCAGAAGTCATTTATACAGCAAAACCACAAGGTAGGTACAGTGTGGCTCAAACAACAGGATTGCAAGTATAGTCGCTTGGCAAATACTGATCCCATAAGGAAACAAGTCACATAGCAAGGGTAGATGAAAAGAACAAAGGGACTTTTAGAAAGATAGGGAACCATGGGTCCAGAAATTCTTGTCACTCACCTATGTGTCTGATGACTATCTGGGGTCACTAGACCAGGTGGTGCTAATTAAAGTATAA